GGAGGGGCAGAGGGAGAAACGACTCCCCACAGAGTGGGGAGCCTGATGCAGGACTTGATCCCAGGACCTAAGACCATGACTTGAGCCAAAGGCAGACACCTAATGGACTGAGCCACCCAGGCACCCAATACCTATTCTCAAGCTGTTTCAAAATCAAAATGGAAGGAAAACTCGCAAACTGTTTCTATGAGACCAGCATTACCTTGATCTCCAAACCAGACAAAGACCCCACCAAAAAGAAGAATTACAGACCAATATCCATGATGAACATGGATGCAAAAATTCTCACCAAAATACCAGCCAACAAGGATCCAACAGTACATTAAAAGGATTATTCACCATGACCAAGTGGGATTTATTCCTGGTCTACAAGGTTGGTTCAACAACTGCAAATCAACGTGATACAATACATTAATAAAAGAAAGAACAAAAACCATATGATACTCTCAACAGTTGCAGAAAAAGCGTTTGACAAAGTACAGCATCGTTTCTTGATCAAAACTCTTCATAGTGTAGGGATAGAGGGCACATATCTCAATATCATCAAAACCATCTATGAAAACCCCACAGCAAATATCATTTTCAATGGGGAAAAACTGAGAGCTTTTCCCCTAAGGTCAGGAACATGACAGAGCTGTCCACTATCACAACTGCTGCTCAATATAGTGCTAGAAGTCCTAGCCTCAGCAGTCAGGCAACAACAACAACAACAACAAAAAGGCATCTGAATTGGCAAAGAAGAAGTCAAACTCACTCCTTGCAGATGATATGATACTCTGTGTGGAAAACAAAAGACTCTACCCCCAGACTGATAGAACTCATACAGCAATTCAGCAAAGTGGCAGGATAAAAAACCAATGCACAGACATCAGTTGCATTTCTATACACCAACAGTATAGACAGAAGAACAAGAAATTAAGGAGTCAATCCTATTTATTTATTTATCTATTTATTTATTTTAAAGATTTTATTTACTTATCTGCCAGAGTGAGAGAGAGAACAAGAGCAAATAAGCAGGGGGAGCGGCAGGCAGAAGGAGAGGGAGAAGCAGGCTCCCCACTAAGCAAGGAGTGCAGTGCGGGACTCAGCACCAGGACCACAGGATCATGACCTGAGCTGAGGGCAGACACTGAACTGATTGAGCCTCCCAGGCGTCCCAGGAGTCGATCCCATTTACAGTTGCTCCCAAGCCATAAGATACCTGGGAATAAACCTAACCAAAGAGGCAAAGAATCTGTAATCAGATAATTATAGAACCCTCATGAAAGAAATTGAGGAAGACACAAAGAAATGGAAAAACCTTCCATGCCATGGATTGGAAGAAAAAATACTGTTAAAATGTCTATGTTACCCAGAACAATATTTATATTCAGTGCAATCCCTTCCTATCAAAATGCCATTGACATTTTTCACAGAACTAGAACAAATAATCCTAAAATTTGGATGGAACCAGAAAAGACCCTGAATAGCCAAAGGAATGTTGAAAAAGAAAACCAAAGTAGGTGGCATCAAAACACCAGACTTCAAGCTCTATTACAAAGCTGAAGTCATCAAGACACAATGGTACTGGCACAAAAAAAGACACATAGATCAGTGCAACAGAATAGAGAGCCCAGAAATGAACCTTCAACTCTATAGTCACTAATCTTCGACAAAGCAGGAAGGAATATGCAATGGAAAAAAGACAGCCTCTTCAACAAATGGTGTTGGGAAAATTGGACAGCCACATGCGAAAAAAAATGAAACTGAACCATTTTCTTACACCACACCTAAATGTGAGACAAGAATCCATCAAAATCCTAGAGAAGAACACGGCAGCAACCTCTTCAGCCTTGGCTGCAGCAACTTCTTTCTAGACACATCTCCAAGGGCAAGAGAAACAAAGGCTAAAATGAACTATTGGGACTTCATCAAGATCAAAGCTTTTGCACAAAGGAAACAGTTGACAAAACCAAAAGACAACCGATAGAATGGGAGAAGATATTTGCAAATGACATAGCAGATAAAGGGCTGGTGTCCAAAATTTATAAAGAACTTATCAAACTCAACACCCAAAGAACAAACAATCCAGTCAAGAAATGTGCAGAGGACATGAACAGACATTTCTGCAAAGAAGACATCCAGATGGCCAACAGACACATGAAAAAGTGCTTAACATTACTTGACATCAGGGAACTATAAATCAAAACCACAGTGAGATACCACCTCACACCAGTCAGAATGGCTAAAATTAACCAGTCAGTAAACAACAGGTGTTGAGAGGATGTGGAGAAAGGGGAACCCTCCTACACTGTTGGTGGGAATGCAAGCTGGTGCAGCCACTCTGGAAAACAGTAGGAGGTTCCTCAAAAAGTTGAAAATAGAGCTACACTACGACCCAGCAATTGTACTACTGGGTATTTACCCCAAAGCTACAAATGTAGTGATCCAAAGGGGCACCTGCATCTCTATGTTCATAGCAGCAATGTCAAACAAGAGCCAAACAATGGAAGGAGCCCAAATATCCACTGACAGATTAATGGTTAAAGAAGATGTGGTATGTATATACAATGGAATATTACGCAGCGATCACAAAATTGAAATCTTTCCATTTGCAATGATGTGGGTGGAACTAGAGGGTATTATGGTAAGGGAAATAAGTCAATCAGAGAAAGACAATTATCATACGAAGAAACAAGGCAGAGGCTCGTAGGAGAAGAGAGGGAAAAAATGAAACAAGATGAAACCAGAGGAAAATAAATCATAAAAGACTCTAAATCATAGGAAACAAATTGAGGGTTGCCTTAGGGGCAGGGGATGGGAGGGATGGGGCCGCTGGGTGATGGACACTGGGGAGGGTATGTATTGTAGTGAACACTAGGTATTATATAAGACTGATGAATCACAGGGGTGCCTGGGTGGCTCAGTGGGTTAAGCCTCTGCCTTCGGCTCGGGTCATGATCTCAGGGTCCTGGGATCGAGTACTGCATCGGGCTCTCTGCTCAGCAGGGAGACTGCGTCCCTCTCTCTCTCTCTCTCTGCCTGCCTCTCTGTCTACTTGTGATCTCTCTCAAATAAATAAATTTTAAAAATCCTTTTTAAAAAAAGTATAAGACTGATGAATCACAGACCTGTACCCCTGAAACAAATAACATATTATATGTTAATTAACTGAATTTAAATTTAGAAAGTTTAAGTGTTACCAAAACAAGAAAAAAATGAAAAAATAAACAACAAAATGAGATACAAGCTATAAAAACATTATATGTCGTGTTTCTGACACAGTATTTACCTTCATGCATTCTCCACCAAAGTGTTTCTTAAACTCTAGGTTCTGATCCGTAGATGAACCATGGAATCAATGTACACCATCTCTGACACCTGCCCAGCACAGAAGCAGCAGAAAGGAGAGGGTTAATAGTTTCTGTAATTACAGATCTCCCTTTTAATGTTTGTTTTAAACTGTCCTATAACTTGTATAACCTCTTAATACTAGAATAATATAATAGAGAAAATTATGTGATCAGCTTAATTGTGAACCTTGACTGTTTAGCCACAATATTGATTTGTTCATCCAATACATTTTATCATGGTTGTCTTACAGATCTCTTTTTTTTTATCTTTTTAATATCAACCTTAAAGTGACAGAAAGTCGCTTTATTTATTTAAATGCAAATACACCTCTTTTTTTAGGTATTTTTCAAAAGATTTTATTTATCAGAGAGAGACAGCGAGAGAGGGAATACAAGCAGGGGGAGAGGGAGAGGGAGAGGCAGGCTTTCCACCCAGAGCAGAGAGCAGATGCGGGGCTAGATCCTAGGACCCTGGGATCATGACCTGAGCGGAAGGCACACGCTTAACCTACTGAGCCACCCAGTCGCCCCCAAATGCACCTCTTTAAACTCAAGTCATCTGTTTACTCTTTATTGATTCTCATGATGCACCTGTGGCTTAAGCACACAGGTGCGGTTGCAAATGAGCAAATTAAAACCAGGGTCTTTATTTAGATTTTATGCCAAACCAGGAAAGAGTGGAAGCAGAGGCTTGAAGCTGTAGCCCAGCGACATACAGGCCATAAAAATGGGGGCGGGGGGGATCAGAGGTACCAGGGGTGTATTCTGTTTGATGGGGGGAGAGGGGAAGTTAAAAATAAACCTGGAAAAAGTGAACTTTCTAAATGTCCTCTACACATTTACTCGACTTACCCAAGCCCTTGTTAACCATTAAGAACCCCCAGCCTGGCTGAGTCCGGTGACTTTCCTTAGACAAGTTTTCTGTCTCCCAGATGCGGGGAACGGAGAGGGGAAGTTCATGGTTATGAGGGTGGTGTTTGGGCTGTGACAGCCTGGCGTGGGGGCCAGCACGCCGGCCAGCAGCGGTGCGACATCCAGCGAATCATTTAGCCCCTCCAAGCCTCACGTCCCTCGTCAGGAAAACGGGCATGAGTTAGCAGAACCTACCTGTGTCTTGGTTTGACGGTTGAACGAGAGCGTCCGCAAAAACACCTGCACATAAATGTTAACTGACTCTTACGCTTTTTTTTTTCTTTTTAACTGAAAAGACGTGGGAGTGTCAAAATAATTCTCCTTGTAAAACCCCAATAAACTTCTGGAGGACTTAAATACAAGGAACGAGGCGTAGCGGGAGGGACGGACCTTCCGACGACAGTAGGTTTCCCGCCACCTCTTCGCTACTGAAAATCGTCTTCACGCCCGTCCGGGCCGCGGCTCACCTCGTGGGGACCCGGGGCAGGGATGGGCGGGGAGCAGCGCGGGAGCCCGCAGCATCCCCCGCAGCGTCCAGCGCCCCCGGGACTCGGGCCGACGGCCCCGGCGGGAGGGCCGCGCCCAGAAGCGCGGGTGCGGGGCTGCGCTCGCCGCGGTCCTCCGGTTCGCGGTCGGAGAGACGGGGCGGGTCCGGCCGCGCCGCGGGCCCCGCCCCCAGCGCCCGGGCTCCGCCTCCGCCAGCCCTGCCCGGGGCTCGGCGCCGCGAGGTCCCAGTCGCGGCCGCGGGAGCCGAGCCATGCGCGCCGCGGGGCCGGGGGCGCGCGCGGGGCCGGCGCTGCTGCTGCTGTGGGCCGCGGCCGGGCTGTCCGCCGCGGCCTCGCCCCCAGCCCCGCCGCTCTTCAACGTGAGCCTGGACGCGGCGCCCGCGCTGCGCTGGCTGCCGGTGCTGCGGCGCTTCGACCTGGACTTCCTGCGCTCGGCGATGGCGCACATCCTCGGGTGAGCGCGGGCGCGGGGCGCGGGGCCGAGCCCCGGGGCACCGCGGGCGGCCCGAGTCCGCGTGCGGGCGGCCCAGACCGTGCTGCCCGCCGGGCTGTCCACTGAGCCGCTTCCCCCGCCCCCGGGACCGTCCTGCCCTCCTCGACCCCAGCGTCCCGACCCGCGGCCTCCGGGGCGTGCGGGCTCGGCTTGTGCCGCCGCTCTGGGAAGCGCCGGGCTCGAGGCTGATCCAGCGGCCAGTTTGACTCCGGAGCTCGGTGTCCCCGGAGGCGCGCCCTTCCCGCAGACAATCTGGGTCAGGGCGGCGTGCAGGTTGTCGCCCGCCCGCTCGGCGCGGAGTCGGGGACGCACCCCACACCCTCGTGGCAGGTCCGGCGAGTCTCGCGAGTCCGCCCCTTGGGGACCACAGTCGCTCGCCCCGCCTCCCTGTCCGAGTGTCCTTCTCTCCGGTCGGGGATGCTGCGGGTCGCGTGGTGCGGCGCCTGGGCTGTCGGTCCTCTGGGAAGGGAGGAGCCCGGCACCCCCGAGGATACGAGCTCTAGGAGCCCCCCGCCACCCAGACACGCGGTCGCGCCCCTTCAGCCCCCGCGCAGATCAGACACCCTCGCGGTTCTTTGTTTCTAGGAATAAGGTCCCCAAGTGGGTCCACGCGTGGGTCGGGAAGGTGGTGGAGGAGCTGGAGCCCTTCCTGCCGCAGCCCTTCGCCGACGAGATCCGCGGCCTGTGCGAGGTCCTCGACTACAGCCTGGCCGACTGTCTGCTGCTCAACCTGGTGTACGAGTCCACCGCGTGAGTGCCCCGCGCCGGCCGGCGTTCACCGGGCCTCCTGCCGCATCTGGCTCGGAGGGGACATACTTCCAGGGTGATTAAAACGGGGTGGATGGAGACCGGGCTGCCCGGAAACCTCCCGCGCTTCCTCTTTGCCTCTCGGGGTAAATCTGAGCCGCAGATCAGGAGCTTTGACAAGGAAAGCAGCTTCTCCGACCTCAGCCTTGAACTTTCCCTCTTGCCCGAAGCCCGCCTCCCTCCCTCCACCTATTCAGGTACTGTCCCACTTTCCAAACGCTAAACTCCACGCGTACTTGAGCAGAAGTTTTTAGAACTCAGCCCACTTGTATGGACCGTCTAGGTATCCCGGGGACCCTGCGCCCTTATAATGCAGGGGGTCATCCCCGCACTCATCTGTCCCCCTGCATTTATACCTCTGTGTCTGCATGGCCGGAGAGCCTGTCTTCCCTTTCAGAGCCTGTACCTTCCAGGGTTGGGGTCACAGGGAACGTCGTCCTGGCTGAGGCAGAGCCAGCATTTGGTAGGCAGGTGGGCAGGATAAAGTGGCACACGGAAGTGAAAGCGGGTAACAGCGCGTAGTTGATCCCATGGAAAGTGCAGGGGAATCTTGTCTTACTGGCTCAGTAGTAGGTCCTGGAGGTAAGAGAGGTTTGACCGGGTTTACTGTTTTGCCCCCAGACCAGCCTTTTCTAATGACATACTTAATAGCTTTTGGCTGCCAGGACATGTTGGGGGGAAAGGGGTTCTTGGGATAAGGCAGCTTTACTGCCCCCCTGGTGTCTTGCCTGAACCCCTGGGCAGTGTAAGAAGCACAGAGTAGGGGCGCCTGGGTGGCTCAGTGGGTTAAAGCCTCTGCCTTCAGCTCAGGTCATGATGCCAGGGTCCTGGGATCGAGCCCCACATGAGGCTCTCTGCTCAGCAGGGAGCCTGCTTCCTCCTCTCTCTCTCTGCCTGCCTCTGCCTACTTGTGATCTCTGTCTGTCAAATAAATAAATAAATAATCTTAAAAAAAAAAGAAGCACTTTTCTCTTTAGGGAAATGTTTAAAGACACAGATAAGACACAAACTTGTTAAATGAACCAAGTTACTTTTGCCATTCCTCTTCTCCCACCTCCATCTTCTTCCTATTCTGACACATGGCTTTCTCAACTGGAAAAAAAAAGGTTTTACTTCCCCTTTTGTTGTTGTTGTTAGACTCTATGTATTCAAGCAGATTTAAGCAAAAGTTCTAGAAAAAACATTCTAGCTTTTGGATTTGATGCTAAAGTATGAGCTGAATTGCCTGACAACCAAAAGTGCCACCAGACGCCGTTAGAATTCACAAGGGGGGTTGCCTGGGGGGCTCAGTCGGTTAGGCAGAGGGAAGCTTCTGCCTTTGGCCTGGGTCATGGTCCTGGGGTCCTGCGATCCCTGCATGGGCAGGGTCCCTGCTCCGCGGGGAGCCTGCTTGTCCCTCTCCTCTGCCGCTTGTACCTCTCTTGCTATCTCTGTCGCTATCTCTGTCTCTCAAATAAATAAAATCTTAAATAAAAAAGAATCAACAAGGGCCATGTTCTGTTCACATTTCCGATGTGAGGCTTTTTGAATCGGAATAATACCAGCTCCCCTTACTGAGCCTGCTGGGCACAGGCCCTGGAGACGGTTATGACCATTTGTGTAGAAAGCAAGCGCCAGAAGGGAAAACTCGCTGAACGTCCTGGGGCCTGGTGAGCCGTCAGAGCCGCTGCATTCAAAGCTCCCGTGTCTCCCCTGAAGCCCTCAGCTCCCCGCTTGTTCCCGTGCTTGTGGGTGCCTCACGCTAAAATGTTTGGCTTAAGGGGTGCCTGGGGGGGCTCAGTCGGTCAGGTATCTGACTCTTGATCACAGCTCGGGTCCTAATCTCAGGGTCGTGAGTTCAGGCCCCGCATTGGGCTCCACGCTGGGCGTGCAGCCTACTTCAAACAAACAAACAAACACTTGGCTTGATATGGAGATATTGTTGTCGTGCCGGTTTTGAAAAATTCTCTGGGAGAGATTTCCACACCCTTTACTTTAACCATTTCCAGGTTTTATCAGCCCCCTTTTGGACATCAACTCTTTGAGGATCAGAAATCTTGGAAAAAATTAAGAACTAACCAGACTTCCTTTTTTGAACAAACACAAAAATTAAGTAACATTCATTTTCTCCTATGATAAAAGTAATATGTAGTCATTATAGGAAATTAGCAAATACAGAAAAGTAGGGAAAAATCAACCACAATTCTTTGCTCGGAAACAGCCAACAGCCCCCTTCAGGATACTGCCTCTCCATTTGGCTTGCCTGACGGACATCTCTTTCCCCAGAACGGGGCATGCTGTGCATAGGTATTTTTCCACAGAACGTTACATATTCTCAGAAGAAACACTTAGATATCGTAACAAACCTCTTCCTCTTTTCCTCAAAATACTTCTCTCCAGCTGGGAGTTCTTTTTTTTTTTTTTTTTTGAGATTTTATTGATATATTTGAAAAATAAGAGCACGAGCAAGAGGGGAGAAGCAGGAGAGGGAAAAGCAGACTCCTTGCTGAGGACAGAACTGGATGGAACAGGACGGACCTGGGTGGAATGGGACAGACCCAGATGGCCCTGGGGCTCGATCCCAGGACCGTGAGATCATGGCTTGAGCTGAAGGCAGATGCTTAACCCACTGAGCCACCCAGGCGCCCCAGCTGGGAGTTTTAAAAGATCTGTTTCTCTTATGAGCTCTATGTAGGGAGCCCTGATGGCGACAGGGAAAGTGCCAAGCCCCTAAGAGTTTACTGTTTTTCCTCAGAGGACAAACTGAAACATTTGGGGGACAGAATGATTTAGTGCCATTATATATGCTCTGAGAAATTCATCAAAGAGAAGTGAATTTGAACTAGCTTTGAATGGTATGTTCTATAGACTACATCCCGCCAAACAGAGGAATAAGCAAAGTTCCGAGGGCTAGCTGAGCTCAGAAGAGTCCGTTTCAGATTTATTTATTTATTTAAAGATTTAACTTATTTATTTGAGAGAGAGATAGCAAGAGAAAGCATGAGAGGGGGCAGAGGGAGAGGGAGAAGCAGGCTCCCCTCTGAGCAGAGAGCCCAATGCAGGGCTCGATCCCAGGACCCTGAGACCATGGCCTGAGCCGAAGGCAGACCCTTAACTGACTGAGCCACCCAGGTGCCCCTCAGTTTTAGATTTAGGATGAAATTCTCTTTCCATACGTTTTCACCACCGTGTGTGCTGAGGGCAACATTCTGGTAGCGCCAAATGAACCCTGATGAGGTGTGTCTGGGTGTGCTTTTCACCTTGAATTGTGGCTCCAGATGCTTGCGCAAGGATCACCTGTCATATGTATCCATTATAAGAATTGTTTTACTGTAAGGATTTATTTTTTAAATGAAACCTCATTCTCCTTTTTCCTATTTTTTCTCATTCATTCATATTGTACTTGTCTATTTTCTCAGATTCTGCACCAGTATCGTGGCTCAAGATTCCAGAGGCCACATTTACCATGGCCGGAATCTGGATTACCCTTTCGGAAATTTCTTACGCAAGTTGACCGTGGATGTGCAGTTCTTAAAGAACGGGCAGGTATGGTTCGCACGCCCTAAGCCTGAGCAGTCAGAGACTGGCCAAGCAAAGCTAGCAGTCGCTAGGACGGATGGTCTGCTGTCAAAGTGTGTTACTGGTTTAAGATATAGAAAACATCAAAGTCCTGGAAAAGCAAAACCTCGGGAGGTTTACGTCCATTACGCTCCTGGAAAGAAGGGTCATTTACAATTACGGAGCACCTACTCATTTCCTTATGGAAATCTCTCTCAGAATGTGACCAGTCATCCACGTCAGCTCTCCCTCTGCTTTCCCGTGCTGAGGAGGCTTCTGGAATAGGGAGGGGCGGCATGGTGTCCCGGCTGGAAACCGCCAACTTTGAGGTCCGACAGTCCTGGGTTTGAGTTCTGTTTCTGTCGCTTGCTTCCTTTGAGAAGGTGGGAAATCCTTGAGACACGTTTTGCAGACTCCAGCTCAGAGAGATTAATAATCACCTTATGGAGGTAGTTGTAAAGGTTACGTGGAGTGATCTATGCAAAGCACGGAACCATGAACCACGATCAGTTGTGGCCACATAATGAACTGTCCTCACTCTGTAAAGTCTGATGGGCTCACAGCACTCTCTAAGTATGATCTTTAAAAAATCTTCCTTAGATCATTTATTTTCATCATAGAAATACAACCTAATATGTACTGTTTTCACATTTCTGTGTAAACATCTGGAGACAGTCTTTTTTCTTTTAAAGATTTTATTTACTTATTTGACAGAGAGAGACACAGCGAGAGAGGGAACACAAGTTCGGTGAGTGGGAGAGAGAGAAGCAGGCTGCCCGAGGAGCAGGGAGCCTGATGCGGGGCTTGATTTCAGGGCCCTGGGATCATGACCTGAGCCGAAGGCAGACGCTTAATAACTGTGCCACCCAGGCGCCCCAGGGATAGTCTTAATCAGTGTTCATTGAGTACACAAAGCACGTTATGGCCAGGAAACAGTGTGCTAAAGCCAGATTTTGGTTTTGGTGGACACTGTTTAAGGACAAGGACTGTATTTCACACGTTCTTTGCATTTAGGAGTTGAGTCACAAATACTATAAACTCATTTATTAAACACTCACTCGGTCATCCGGTTTTACAAACAAAACTTTTTCTTATAAAATCTAAAATAATACATAAATACTTAAAGCAAACATTTCTCATTTTTCTCTTTCATTTCTTTACTTCACCACTGTTAACAATTTGGTTTATAGGGCGCCTGGGAGGCTCAGTCAGTTGGCCGTCTGCCTTTGGCTCGGGTCGTGATCCCAGGGTCCTGGGATCAAGTCCCGCATTGGGCTCCCTGCTCCATCTGGACCCTGCTTCTCCCTCTGCCCCTCTCTCTCTCTCTCATGAATAAATAAATACAATCATAAAAAAAATTTTAAATTTAGTTTATAGTTGAAGAATTACTTCAAAAATGGTTTTAACTGGTAACAATGACAGAACATACATACATACTAATTTCCGAAAGGAAATCTGCTAAAACGTTAGCAATTATTACTGGACAGTGGGACTATATTTTCACTGACTACTTTATGCTTTTCTGCATTATCTACAATAAGCAAGAAATCTTCTAAGTGGACAGAGGAATAAATACAGTAAAAATAAATTATTTCAACAGTTCTCTCTAGAACTCACCCTGTTTTGTTTTGTTTTTTAAAGATTCTACTTATTAGAGAGAGAGAACAAGCAGTAGGGAGGGACAGAGGGAGAGAGAGAGAAACAGACTTTCTGCTGAGCAGGAAGCCCGATGCGGGGCTCGATCCCCGGACCTGGATATCATGACCTGAGCAGAAGGCAGGCGCTTAACCCACTGAGCCACCCAGGCACCCCTACCCTCACCCTAACTGTTAATGCTTCATTTGTTCCTGTTGTCCTGGAGCGCCCGTGAGAACTGGCCAGCAGGCACGGCTTGACTCCTAGTGCTCAGGTTATCATTAGGAAATCTAGCAGTGGACACCAGAGTATTATCTTTCCGCTGAGGGCTCACAGCCAAGAAATTGTCGTGCTAAATGAAGAACAGGTGATCCACAAAATAATTCATCCCTTATTCTCGAATATTGTTCATAATTTTTAAAGGATTTTTACATATAATTCCTCCTTAGATGCTCACCAAAGCCACATTTGTGCCCTCTGAGTGGGCACAGATCAACAGTTTCATGCGCACTTTCCCCGTGAGAGGCAGAGACCTCACCTGGAGAACGTTGTCCCAGCTCCCCTGGGAGGAGGCCCACAGAGGCAGGACCAGAGCCAGGCCTCTGGCCTCCTAGTGGCTTTCTTCCCCCCAGACTCCAACCAGGCTGTGATTTAGAATCTCTTGCTGTAGCCAAGGGTCTGCTTGTGTTAACTGACTCAGCAGGGACAACAGAAACAGGACGTTTAGAAACAAAGACAGGTTTTCAGGATAAAAGAGCTGGCAAATTATATCCCAGAATCATTTATAATTGGGTATGATCCAACCTCTTGGAAACTACAATATGATTCTGCCTTTGAAACTTTAATTTGCTCTTTCCTTCAGGAGTAACCCTGATATGAGTGTCAATGTGTCATTCGAAGAAAGTGACGGTATAATTACTTTTTTCCTTCACATAATTACATTTTGTAAAGGCTTTAGCAGCGAGGTAGAATTATGCCTATTTTACTGCCGTGAATGGAAGTGGGGAGAATTCAGAGAAAGCCCTCGAGGAGCTGGGTGAAGGTCACTCATAAAACTAGGGCCACTGCATTTTTTTCTTTGTAATTTAGCCACCTTAAATTATTTTTTACAACCAGATGAGGTAAAACTAAATGATCAAAAAGATTACAGACTTAAGATTCAGCTTTTTTTTTTTTCAAGACTTACTTATTTATTGGGGAGAGCATGAGTGGCAAGGAAGGACAGAGAGAGAGAGAGAGACCACAAGCCGCGGGGAGCAGCAGGCAGAAGGAGAAGCAGACTTCCTGCTGAGCAGGGAGCCCGGCGATGTGGGGCTCCATCCCAGGACTCTGGGACCATGACCCGAGCCAAAGGCTTAACCTACTAATCCAATCACCTGCCCCTGAAATTTAGCTTTTTCAAAGGAAAAATATTCACTCAGGCCCATTCGTTTCTCAAAATAAAAAGAACGGGCACATTCTCTCTTTAAACAATGAAATCTGGTATCTGCAGTAGCTGATCCAATGTAATTTTTCTCCTGGTAGTCAGATGGTGGTCTCCTGCAATCATGGCGCTTGTTACCTTAGGTCACAGTGGAAGTGTTCCCTGTAACTCACGGGATAACCATGAGGATGACATTGGAGATATATGTAAAATAGTTTTTTAAATTTAAAATTTAGGGGGGTCTGGGTGGCTCAGTTGGTTAAGTATCTTCTGCTCAGGTCATGATCCCAGGGTCCTGGGATGGAGTCTCACAACGGGCTCCCTGCTCAGTGGGGAGCCTGCTTCCCCCTCTGCCTGCAGCTTTCCCTGCTGTGCTCTCTCTTTCTGTGAAATAAATAAGTAAAATCTTTTTTAAAAATTTAAAATTTAAATATGATTATGACTGACAAACAGTCTCACTTATTTCCTCTTACCCCATAGAGCTTATAAGATACATGACTTAGGGGGCACCTGGGTGGCTCAGTGGGTTAAACCTCTGCCTTCGGCTCAGGTCATGATCCCAGGGTCCTGGGATTGAGCCCCACATCGGGCTCTCTGCTCAGCAGGGAGCCTGCTTCCTCCTCTCTCTCTGCGGGCTTCTCTGCCTACTTGTGATCTCCATCTGTCAAATAAATAAATAAAATCTTAAAAAAAAAGATGTATGACTTATGATCAAGTCAACACAAGATTTTAGTCAGAGCCCATCTGCTATTTTGAGGATGGAGTTTCTTAATCTTTTGGGGTGCATGGTCCCCTTTGATGAGCCGATGGTCCCATTTCAGAATGTTTTATAATACTTAAAATGCATGGATTACAAAGAAAATCAGTTATGTTGGAATACAGCCATTTCAATGTCATACTTTTTCTCACTATATTAAATAGTAAATTTTAGCTGTGCATCTAATAACTCCCATAATGACAATTATGAATGGTATTTCAGGACAAGTAATGATCCGATGTCAAGGTAGATATGATAGCATTATGTATGTGAAACTATCTGCTATGTCTGTGGTGGCAGAATCATGGGCACTGCTGAGACTACAGGATTTGTCAAGTGTGTCTGTTACGGAAGGAGTGACATTTCAGTTAGAAATGGGTGAAAATAAAGAAGTACCTTTTCTCTCCCATGCAAGATCAGAGACCTACTGATTTCTATCCATGGCACCCCCAGGTCAAACCTTTCAGAAGGCAATTTAGGAGTTTTTATTATGTTGGCACTTATAAGGAAAAAACTCAATGAGGGGGACAAAACAGACGACTTCAATGTGTGTTTGGCGGGAATGGCAAAATGATGCCTGTCTCTTGGTTGCAGGTGGCGTTCACAGGAACCACGTTCATTGGCTATGTAGGAGTGTGGACCGGTCAGAGTCCATACAAGTTTACAGTTTCTGGCGATGAACGAGGTAATCAGAGCAAACTCCTGAGCATTTTGGCTCTGTGCCTGGTCGGTTGTCTCCAGGTACTTCATCGGCTGCCCCAGCTGAACATGCAGACGAATCCCGACTACACCACCAGCTGGGACCCCCGGCCTAGTGGGGGAGGTGGGCGGTGTGCTCCAAGCAGTGAAGATGATTTCAGGGGGTGTGAGTGCTACAGAGAGTGCAAAACAGGGTGCCCGGGTGCTGCAGTCACTTGATTTCAGCTCAGGTCACGGTCTCAGGGGAGTGAGATCAAGCCCCGCGCCGGGCTCCACACTCGGCGTGGAGCCCGCTTCAGACTCCCTCTCCCTCGGCCCCTCCATCGTGCTCTGTCTCTCCCTCTCAAAGAAACAAGTCTTTTATTTATTTTTTTTTAATATTTTATTTATTTATTTGACAGAGATAGATCACAAGTAGGCAGAGAGGCAGGCAGAGAGAGAGAGGGAGAAGCAGGCTCCCTGCTGAGCAGAGAGCCTGATGCGGGGCTCGATCCCAAGACCCTGAGATCATGACCCGAGCCGAAGGCAGAGGCTTAACCCTCTGAGCCACCCAGGTGCCCCAGAAACAAGTCTTTTAAAAAAGAGAGGGAGAGAAAGCAAAACAGGAAGATGTGATGGAGAATGAAGGAGGGGGTGGGGCAGGTACTGCAGGTCACATGATCCAGGAGCCAGAAGCTGGGGGAATTCTAGAAACAGAGCATTCCTGGCTGATTCTAGAAACAAAAGATGGCGGTGTGGTTGTAGCACTGGGAACTGGCGTTACAGGCGGAGAGGAAGGCCGAGGCCGTGGTGAGGGTCAGGATGGGGAGTTTGGATTTTCAGTGTGATGGTGGAATGGAAGCCCTAGGAGGGCTTTAGGCCGGGAAGCGAATCACTCGGGCTGTTCCCTAGAAATCGGTCGTGGGGGGTGACATGGAAGCAGAAGACGGTTAGGGAGCTGCTGCAGTCATGTAGAGGCTACATGATGGCATCCTCCGGGCGACAGCTATAAAGCCTTCCACAGCTTACTGGCACCTTCTGGTCACTTTTCTCAGGGGACCTTCATGACAGTCCTGTCAGACAGACCGGGCTGGTCGTATTGACCCCGCTGGGGAGGCAGAGGAGGAAGCGGAGGCTTGGGGGTGGGGGGTGGCAGCTGGCCGGTGGAAAGGTGGTTCTCAAACTGGTCCCCCAGGTCTGGTGGTTATACGACTGCACCACCGGTCCCCAGGTCTCAGGGGACATGAGTCAGCTCCACAGAGCGTGGGAGACCCAGAGGTCCACAGACACTGTCTCTGTCCTCAGGAACTGGCAGCTGAGCTAAGAAGAAAGTCATAAAGTTGAGTGTTGGTCATTGGATGAACATGACTGACGTCATGTTGCCTGTTCCTTTGGTTAAGTCTGCTCTTACCTTTCTATGCAAGGTTGATGGGAGGACGCTGGCTGAGGACATGTCAGTGTCCGGTGCTCCGTTCTGCATCCTAATGGGTTCCTAAAGCATTTTCTCAAAGTCAGCAATGAGTGAGACTGATTTTCTCTTCTTTTTTGAAAAGATTTATTTCTTTTAGAGAGAGAGAGCAGAGGGCAGGGGCAGAGGGAGAGAGAGAATCCTCAAGCAGACTTCGTGCTGACTAAGGAGCTGGACACGGGGCTGGATCTCAAGACCCCGAGATCATGAGCTGAGTCGAAATCCATAGTCGGCTGCGTCACTGACTGAGCCCCATGGGTGCTCCATTGACTCTTAACCCATGGTGCTCAGACCACAGATGACACTTACTAAGGTTTCACACAGAATGTCTGTCAACAAGTGTGTGTTTCAGGCTGGGCTTTGTTTCCATCATTCTGTGACTCCAAGTGTTTAACAACGGATTAGTAGAACCTAAGGTACGAGCAGTCTAGAAATAACTGAGTTCTTCTGTGATGTGCACATTTAATGAAATACCGTCAGACCGCCTTTTTAATACTTATATTAGTGAAAACTAGTTCTATTTTAGTCTGCTGCAAGGGAGTTAAAATGCCTGAACCATAAGGTAGGATGTCTCTGCCAAGAGAGATAAGATATTCAGCTGAGTTTCTGGATGTTATGGAGACGGCCAACAGCCCCCCACCCCACCCCGGGAAGGGTAGGGCTGGGAGGAGGACCCACAAATGGCGTAGAGTCTGGGGAGGCGTAACCTACCACCTGGCAGGTAACATCTCAGCCTCGAGAGCCAGCCTGCCCGAGGTCTGCGTCGGGCTATCACTCGCTGACTCAGCGACTGCCCCCAGGGTGCTTCAGTGTCTCACCTGGAGAGCGAGGGAGGAGGTCGAGCTGCTTCGTGGATGTGAAGGGGCCGTGTTGTCCTGTGTTGTCTGGCTGTGTTGTCCGGCTGTGCTGTCCTGTGTTGTCCGGCTCCAGCCCGGGAGCACCAGCTGCGGTCTCAGCCCCTCCACGTTAATGGCTGCTGGTGGACGTGCCCCTGCACGCTTCCGCAGAACTCTTGCCCTTCCCTTTTCCCCTCTTCTTCTTCTTCTTTTGTAAATTTTATTTATTTTGCTTTTTCAATGTTCCAAAATTCATTGTTTATGCACCACACCCAGTGCTCCATGCAATACGTGCCCTCCTTAATACCCACCACCAGGCTCCCCCATCCCCCACCTCTTTCCTCTCTAAAACCCTCAGTTTGTTTCAGAGTCCACAGTATCTCATGGTTCAACTCCCCTTCCAATTTCCCCCAACTCTCTTCTCCTCTCCATCTCCCTATGTCCTCCGTGTTATTGCTTATGCTCTACAAGTAAGTGAAACTGTATGATAATTGACTTTCTCTGCTTGACTTATTTCACTCAGCATAATCTCTTCCAGTCCTGTCCATGTTGATACAAAAGTTGGGTACTCATCCTTTCTGATGGAGGCATCATACTCCATAGTGTATATGGACCACATCTTCCTTATCCATTTGTCCATTGAAGGGCATCTTGGTTCTTTCCACAGTTTGGCGATGGTGGCCATTGCTGCTATGAACATTGGTGTACAGATGGACCTTCTTTTCGCTACATCTGTATTTTTGGGATAAATACTCAGTAGTGCAATTGCAGGTCATAGGGAAGCTCTATTTTTAATTTCTTAAGGAATCTCCACACTGTTTTCCAAAGTGGCTGCACCAACTTGCATTCCCACCAACAATGTAAGAGGGTTCCCCTTTCTCCACATCCTCTCCAACACCGGTTGTTTCCTGTATTGTTAATTTTGACCATTCTAACTGGTGTAAGGTGGTATCTCAATGTGGTTTTGATTTGAATCTCCCTGATGGCTAGTGATGATGAACATTTTTTCATGTGTCTGTTAGACATTTGTATGTCTTCTTTGGAGAAGTGTCCTTCATGTCTTCTGCCCATTTTTTGATACGATTATCTGTTTTGAGGAGTTCTTTATAGATCTTGTATATCAGCCCCTTGTCTGCAGTGTCATTTGCGAATATTTTCTCCCATTCTGTGGGTTGCCTCTTTGTTTTGTTGACTGTTTCCTTTGCCATGCAGAAGCTTTTGATCTTGATAAAGTCCCCAAAGTTCATTTTCGCTTTTGTTTCCTTTGCCTTTGGAGACATACCTTGAAAGAAGTTGCTGTGGCCGATGTCAAAGAGGTTACTACCTATGTTCTCCTCTAGGATTCTGATGGATTCCTGTCTCACATTGAGGTCTTTTATCCATTTTGAGTTTATTTTTGTGTATGGTGTAAGAGGATGGTTGAGTTTCATTCTTCTACACATAGCTGTCCAGTTTTCCCAGCACCATTTATTTAAGAGACAGTTTTTTTCCACTGGATGTTTTTTCTTGCTTTGTCGAAGATTATTTGACTGTAGAGTTGAGAGTCCATATCTGGGATCTCTACTCTGTTCCACTGGTCTATGTGTCTGTTTTTGTGCCAGTACCATGCTGTCTTGGTGATCACAGCTGTGTAGTAAAGCTTGAAATCGAGCAACGTGATGCCCCCAGTTTTGTTTTTCTTTTTCAACATTTCTGTAGCAATTTGGGGTCTCTTTTGATTCCACACAAATTTTAGGATTGTTTGCTCCAGGTCTTTGAAAAATACCGGTGGAATTTTGATCGGGATGGTATTGAAAGTATAGATTGCTCTAGGCAGTATAGACATTTTAACTATGTTTATTCTTCCAATCCAAGAGCATGGAGTGGTCTTCCATCTTTTTGTGTCTTCTTCAATTTCTTTCATGAGTGTTCTGTAGTTCCTTGAGTATAGATCCTTTACCTCTTTGGTTAGGTTTATTCCCAGGCATCTTCTTTTTCTTTTTTTTTTTTTTAAGATTTTATTTATTTATTTAACAGAGAGATCACAAGTAGGCAGAGAGTCAGGCAGAGAGAGAGGGGGAAGCAGGCTCTATGCTCAGCAGGGATGCTGAGGCAGATGCAGGGCTCGATCCCAGGACTCTGAGATCATGACCTGAGCCAAAGGCAACAGCTTAATCCACTGAGCCACCCAGGCGCCCTCATCTTATGGTTCTTGGTGCTATAGTAAATGGAATCGATTCTCTAATGTCCCTTTCTATGTTTTCATGGATAGTGTATAAGAAAGCCACTGATTTCTGTACATTGATTTTGTATCCTGCCACATTACTGAATTGCTGTATGAGTTCTAGTAGTTTGGGGGTGGAGTCTTTTGGGTTTTCCATATAAAGAATCATGTCATCTGCGAAGAGAGAGAGTTGGACTACTTCATTGCCAATTTGAGTACATTTTATTTCTCTTTGTTTTCTGATTGCTGTTGCTAGGACTTCTCGCACGATGTTGAACAACAGTTCCTTTTCCTCTCTTCTTGCCCTCACTCGGCCTCCGCCCAAACCTGTTCCTCTCCAGGTTTTCTGTGTCTCAGGATATGATACTTCTTTCTGCTGCACTGATTGTACCAGGAGAATCTTTTGACCCCTCATTCCCGGGTCTTAGTGCCATTGCCCAAACTGGACTGTCTCTTCCAAGTCCTTGGAAATGTGTGTGTACATTTGTTTCTACGGCTGCCATGAAATTTGAGCTTTATCTTTGAAAACTGGATGCCAGTAAAAATCACTCTTCATCCACCAACTCTTCTCTCCCGTCAGCTCATACTCTGGGGAAGAAGTAAGATGGAAGGAGTTAAAATGTGGCACTTGGGCAACAGTTCGTACTTATACATATTGTTCCTTCCTCAACTCGACAGACAAAGGCTGGTGGTGGGAGAATGTGATTGCTGCCCTCTTCCAGAGACACTATCCGGTCAGCTGGCTTCTCCGCGCTGTGAGTACTTGTACTGCTGAGCCCCCCACCCTCACTCCATCTTCCGTGCGGTCGTGTTGTAGTGCTCTATGTCATTTTACGACTTTTACATTGACATTCAACAACTTTTCCATAAACAACATTTACTTCAGGTAAGAAGTTCCTTGAAAGGATGGGCATCTACGGGTTTGCAGAATGCAGAGTGATAAGAAGTATCAAAGAAAACAGAGCTGGACACTAGTTAGAGTAGTTGTTATAAATTATAAATTTCTGGTTATAAACTAAGTCGAGGGCATGTCATGTATGGCATGGCGATTATAGTTAATAATACTGTATTGCGTAAGTGAAAGTTGTTAAGAGTAGATCTTAAAAGTTCTCATGCAAAAAAAAAAAAATTTTGTAACTCCGGGTGGGGACGGATGTTGACTAGACTTATTGTGGTGATCATTTTGCAATATATGCGAATATTGAATCATTATATTGTATGCCTGAAATAATATAATGTTACCTGTCAGTTATACCTCAATAAAAAGAAAAGTCAGTGGTAGAGACAGATTTTAGTCAGTGCCGTGCTGTTGTAATTAGGAATAGTGCCCAGGTGGACAGAATCAACTTTGATTTGTACAGAGGTGACCGGTGTTTTAAAGGGAGAATGTGGGAATAGAGAAGGATGTGAACAGGGGCCCAGTAGAGTTGGAGAAGTGAAAAAGTACGGAAAGTGGAAAAGAGGGCTTGTACATGTAAAGCCTAGCTGGGGTTGCTAACTGGTGCTCATCAAAGTTAGCCTCCTGCCCTCCTGCAGAGACTGGAAAACAGGGGCCCTATCTTTTGTTTTTTAATTTTAAACTTATATCTAAAAATATATTCATTGAACAAAATAAAATCAAATATGCACATAAAACTTTGTACTATCAGATGTACAAATGTTTTGGGGATCAAAATAAATGTTTTATGAAAGTCACTCTAAAATGACAGGATTCTCTGATGAGTAGTTTTTCAAATGAAATACTTCACCATGCTTCATTTTATTTATTTTATTCATCCTGAGAAGTGTACTCCATAACCCCCATCATTTGTTTCACCCGTCACCTGTCCACCTCCACTCTGGTGATCGTTACTTCTCTACAGTTAAGAGTCTGTTTCTCGTTCTCTCTCTCTCGCTCTCTTTCCCCTTTGCTCATTTGTTTTGTTGCTTAAATTCCACATGAGTGAGTGAGTTCATATGGTATGTGTCTTTCTCTGATTTCTTTTGTTTAGCATAAAACTCTCTAGCTCTATCCATGTTGTTGCAAATGGCAAGATTTCATTTTTGATGGCTGAGTAATATTCCTGTGTGTGTGTGTGTGTGTGTGTGTGTGTGTGTGTGTGTGTGTGTGCTGTGTGTACCACATCCTTATCCATTCATCCCTCAATCTGTCAAGGGACACGTGGGCTGCTTCCATAATTTGGTTATTGTAAATAATGCTGCAATAAACTTAAGGGTGCATAGATCTTTTCAAATTAGTGTTACTGGACAGTATAGGGTAGTTCTATTTTTAATTTTTCGAGGAAGCTTTATACCATTTTCCACGGTAGCTGCCCTGGTGTGCACTCCCACCAGCCCTGCCCTGGTGTGCACTCCCACCAGCACTGCAAAGTGGTTCCTTTTTCCCACATCCTCGCCGATACTTCTTTGTTCTTGTATTTCTGACTTAACCTTTCTAATAGGTGTGAGGGGATACCTCACTAAGTGCTGGCTGGGACAAGCAGTCAATTCTTTGGGCCACCTTACTTTCTCAGGCAGGGGCTAGAAGAGAGGCCAGGTCACCTTAGGGATGTAGCCTAGAGCTATTAGAAACTGTTGTTTGTTCAAGTCATTATAGGCCAAGGTAAGGCCTTATCAAGCAAGACTGCTCAGAGGAGCCTAGCCAAAGTTTGGTCAAGGAGGGAATCTTTGTTAGAGGCTACAGTATTAGGCTGCTATAGCCTCCTAATCTTGATAACTGATTGAGATAAGAGAGAACTGTAAACTTTTGGGCAGATAAAAATGTACCCTCCTTTTAGAATCTCCATTTGCAAAGATCAGAATTTAGCAAAACAAAGACATTAGAAAGTAGTTCTGCATACAACAAAAAGAAAGTTTGCTTTAGTGACCTCTTAGACAGCAGAGTTCAGGCCACATATAAATTGTAATTTGAGGACATTTTGCGCAAGGATCTGGCCCTCCCCAGCTTTAGCCTTTTTGGCTCCTATTTGCCTTGCTTTAAATGATCTTTGTCCCTCTGGACCTGGAGGTCTCCTCAACTTCCTACCTGGGTACTTCCTAAAGATGTTAACAAACTGTGTACACTTCATACCTTTTTAAGACGACCTCTAAAACTTTTCATCATAAGATGGAAAGGCTGCAAAAAAAATCCAGAGTATTGCAAATGTTGCCATTTAAAAATAAAACTAGAATTTAAATCTAACCAGTAGACTCTAAACACCAAAATGATTTTTAAATGTTTTGGATAAAATTTACCTACAGTGACAGGCACAGATCTTATGGGTTTAGTTCCATGTCTTGACAGTTGTACACACTCATTTATCCACCCACATAGGCATCAGTAAAACAAGACACAGAACATTTCCAAGTCCCTGGAAATTTCCCTCCAGTTCCCTTCTCACCAATGCCTCACCGCCTCTGACACCCTCCTCCAGTGAAACCACTCTGACCTCTGTCACCACAGACAAGTTTGCCTGTTCTAGAATATGTATAAGAGAAATCCTAGAGTACAGACTCTCTCTCACACTCTGCCGGATACTTTTCTAATTCATCCATGTTCTTTGTATCCCTCGCTCATTCATTTTTATTACTGAAGAATATTCAGTTGTACGGCTATGCCACAATTCATTCATTTTCCCGTTGATAGACATTGGGTTGTTTCCAGTCTTGGGCCGTTGTGAATAAGCCTGTGATAGAATTCCCAGTACAAGGCTTCTAGTCAACATGCATGTCCACTTCAGTTGAGTAAGTGCTTAAGAGCGGAATTGCTGTGTCATAATGTCGGTGTATATATATAAATATTTTTTTAAAGATTTTATTATTTATTTTTTGAGAGGGAGAGAGGGAGAGCACATGCACAAGCAGGGGGAGGAGCAGAGGGGAAACGAGGGAGAAGCAGACTCACCACTGAGCGAGGCGCCCAATGTGGGGCTTGATCCCAGGACTCTGGGATCATGATCTGAGCTGAAGGCAGTTGCTTAACCAAGTGAGCCACCCAGGCACCCCAAGGTCAGCGTTTTTGTAATTGAGGTATAAAGCTGTGCCATTCATGTGTCACACCATTCATCTATTTAAAGTGTACAACTCCCCGGTTTTTAGTATAGTCAGAGTGGTGCAACCATCTCTACAATCAATTTTAGAACATTTTCATTCCCCTGGAAAGAAATCCCGAACCCACGAGCAGTCACGGCCCATTTCCATAATTTCCCCAGCCAGACAGATAAGGTGCTTGTCCCACCCTGACTCTGCCACCCGAAGGAAGCAAGTCACCTCCACCTTCGGGATTTCTTCCTCACGTTCTTTGGCTTTTTTCTCACCGGATTCTGCTGGAGTCAGTGAATTCTTTGATAGTTGTCGTGGGATGGTGTCGGTGACATAAAACAGTGTTCCTGACTCCTCTTGCCTCCCTTTATAATTGTGCTGAGTTCAGAACAAACCACTTTAGCCCTACATACCTCACCCTTCACAGTCCTATGTGTACGGGAGGGGAAGGTCCCAAACCCTGCCCCCGGTGGATGGTTTATGGTGCCGAATGAGGGCGCCTTTGCAGACGCTAATATTTGAATTGTGCTTTTGCTTGACTTTACCACGACCCCTGACACTGTGCCCGGCAGTATTCAGGATGGATGAAGAGAAAACGTCCTTTCCAAGAGCGGTTGTGAAGACACAGGCGGGAAGGGCAGGCTCTTCTGCAGATGAGCTTGAGCAAGGAAGGGAGCCCCTTACCCGCCCATGCCACAGCCCTTGGGAGGCCTTCACGAACCCCGGGGGTTTCTGAACCCCCTGCTCACTGCTCTGATGTAGTGTGCTGTCTTCCGTCTCCAACCTTTGCCAGACTATTCCACTGAGCCAGAACTGTCTTCCCTACCCCCATGCCCAGCCTCACAACCACGACTTGGACCAGCCTCACTTCCCTTTGTCCCTTTGGCCTCAGCTTGTGCAATACCTCCTGGGCTGCTTCCTAAATGCCCTGGGTGACGTTGGGTCCCCTGCTATGACTTTTCCAGCAACTGCTTCTCCCATGTTGACACCCCGTACCCTGTGTCACCACTGCCCATTGTCTTTCCTGTCACTCTTGGAAATCCGGAGTGAACGAGGTTAGGTCAGTCGTAGTCACTGTTCTGTCCCCACGCCGGCACAGTGCCCAGCACGTGGTAGGTATTTAGAAAGGACTTGTTGAAAGATCAAAGGACTGAGGACACGGGGGCAGTCCTGGGTGAAGGTGACCCGCCTAGAAAGCGTGTGGCACATGGTTGGTGAGCTGGGCCTAGAACTTGTCAACAGTTCTTTCCTTTTGTGAGGAAAGTCCCGCTGCTGTCGGCTCCCCATGGAGCCCTCGTGACAGGAGGTTGAAGTTGAGCAATTTAAGGTGGGAGCCATGGCTGAATGCATCAGGAGAGCAGGCTCCGGCCCGTTTGTCCGTCAGGGGCGTGGGTCGCTGCCGCGGGAGGTGAGGCTGATGCAGGCGCGTCTTCTCGTTCAGACCCTGAGTGAGTCGGAAAACTTCGAAGAAGCTGTGATCAAACTGGCTAAGACACCCCTGATCGCTGATGTCTATTACATCGTGGGGGGCACGTCCCCCCGGGAGGGAGTGGTCATCACGAGGAACAGAAACGGCCCAGCAGACGTGTGGCCTCTGGACCCTTTAAATGGAGCGTGAGTAGAATGAAGACCCTGGTCATGTTGTATCCATCATGTTTTTCAACCAGTGAAACTAGAAGTATTTTTTCGTTTTCGCAACTTTTTCTTCTTTGGCTGCACGCCGAATGACCTTGGGTAAGACGAGGTGTTGCGCTCTGTTGTAGGTGGTTCCGGGTTGAGACAAATTACGACCACTGGAAGCCAGTACCCAAGGAGGACGACCGGAGGTAGGCCTCTATACACTTTCCGGTTTCCAGGGTTTCCTCGGGGTCGGGAGAATGGGCCCTTTATAGGACGAGAACTGGAGAGGACTAGAGGCGCTGCCCCTCCCAGAAAATGTACCTGGGTGCCCTCACCCATGGCTTGGCCAGACTGGAAGAGTGTGGGGAGGGCTTCTTGGCGGCTGGGTGTTGGAAGGGAAGGTTGGCCCTGGCCTCAGGGTCAGAAGGCCTGGAGCCACCACTGGCTCTGCTAGTGACTCCCTGGGTGGCTCCTCGAGCCTCCGTTTAATAAGCTGTAAAAGGAAAGGGTAGACCAAGAATCGAAGTTTTCCATGTAAGACTTGTTTGGAAGGAAAACATTTAGTTTAAATAAATACATAAATAAACTAGTTAGGGGCTTTCTTTGGTCCTTCTAAAATTTTTTCTTTAAAGACTTTATTTATTTGACACTCAGAGACAGAGCACAAGCAGGGGGAGCAGCACAGAGACAGGGGGAAGCAGGCTTCCCACAGAGCAGGGAGTCTGACACGGGGCTCGATCCCAGGACCCCAAGATCATGACCTGAGCTGAAGGCAGACGCTTCACCGACTAAGACCCCAGGGACCCCTGGACCTTTTAATTTTAAACGTTTTATAAATCCGTGCGTCCCCAAACAAGAGGCAGTTAGGTATTTCCTCCCGGCTTAACAGCCCCATATGTTTAGTGGCAACTGTTTAATTTCGTAGCAATACATTTCACCTTCCCAGCTTCCCGGTGTGTCCACGGGCCTGACGGTTGAATCAATTTTGCTGCGGTGGTCTGAGACTAGGCAAAAAGCAGGTTTGGGGGCCAGGATCTGCTTTGGTGAAAGGGAGGTAAGGCAGCTGGGCCTCAGGATGAGAGCTGGTGCCCTGCAGGGTTTCCTGAAAGGCCCAGTAACTTTGACCCTTCTCCTTACAGGACACCTGCCATCAAAGCCCTTAATGCCACGGGCCAGGCCAACCTCAGCCTGGAGAAGCTCTTCCAGGTGACTTACCAAGCCGCAACGTCCTCCTCTTACCCAGGATGTTTGCTGTCTTTGTTAACAGTGATTAAAAAAAAAAGAAGAAGAAGAATGTGAAATCTCTGAAATCAAGCAAATGTGGTAGATGACAGTGTTGGAGTCAGAGTTTCACCTGGTTGAAAACTTTTTTAAGAGTTTATTTATTTAGACAGACAGCGGGAGAGGGAACACAAGCAAGGGGAACAGGAGAGGGAGAAGCTGGCTTCCCGATGAGCAAGGAGTCTGATACGGGACTCGATCCCAGGATGCTGGCATCATGACCCGAGCTAAAGGCAGACGCCCAACGACCGAGCCACCCAGGCGCCCCATGAAAAACCTTTTAAAGCGTCCAATGACAATTTGGCATAAAAGATTTTTTTAAAGTTTGCCTTTTGTGACAAACAGAAATCTAAAATGAGAATTACCTTCTTTTTAGGGATTCTCAACTAATGACTTGATAATTATATTTGTTTTTATGTGGTCCACTTTGTTTAACTCATTAAAAATTACAATTCTATTTATAGAATCCTTCAGACTTAACCTAAAAGGTCACCAGGACCCACAAGTTAGTGGGAAATGAAAGTTGAACAGAAAGTATAACTAAATTTTTTTTAAAAGTCTGATGACATTTTGTGAACTGGTTTCAGTGTAGGTCAAAGTATCCCTCTTCACCTCGGTTTTTCTGCCTCTTAGAGACACAGTTGGGTAGATGTTCACTGTTTAAAAGGGGAAAGGATTCAAAAGTCTATAACTCTGTCACCCTAAGACCCACAGGAGTGTTAGGTAGTTTTATGCTTCCCGTAGATTTACCTTTTAATATTTCTTCTACCTCTTAATAGTCTTTGTAATATGATTTTTTTTTCCTTTGCAGGTTTTGTCCGTGTTTCCGGTTTATAACAAGTAAGTGACATGTTCAACGCATCTGTTCTCACATCACCCCAGAAGGGGGGACTCGACTCCCATACTCTGGCTCAGCAGGGTTCTGGGTGCCTGTAGGTTGGGCTTTCTAGGTGCTGTGGGTACAGCAGTGAACCAGGCCGAGTCCCTGCTCTCACGGGGCTCGCGTTCTGCTGGTGGGAGTAGGGAGGAGGCAGGGAGGGGCAGATAGACATATCATAAGTCAGGTGAGAAGCCCATGAAGAAAAACAAAGGTAAGGAGGCTAGAGTGATCCAGAAGGAGGAGGGCCGTGATGTGTTCATCCTAAATCGGTCTGGCGTGGGGGCCACCGGCCCTGCTTTTGAGCGCCTTAATCCCACTGTTAAAACCAAACTTTAGACACCCTTGGCCTCCCTGCAACTTGCTGAGCCATTCTGCTGCCCCCATGCTCCACACACAGATGATTCAGCATCAAAGCTGCTGTTTGTTTTTTGGCCTGAACCCTTGACAGGAGCATTCTGTGGGCAGTGGCTTCTCAGGTGTACAGCCCTCATCGTCCTCTGAGGTGAAGCTCTTAATGAAACCTAAGTGGCAGCCACAAGACTTGGACAGGAAACTCTGAAGGTCCCAGAAAACCTTCAGAGTTTTCTCGGAAGGTCTCTGTCACCAGAAGAGCCAGGCTGACTAGACCAGCAGCTCCTCCTTGTCCTTTCCAGGTGGGGCTTCACGGCCTTATGGGCACCTCGGATTAGCTCCTTGGGGGTGCGGAAACCTTCTCTTGCTTCGTGAGTGGGGCTTGGTTTAATAAAATGAAAGAGGAAGCATCTGCAAGTCAAAGCCGTTTTATCTCCTCCTTTTACTCAGTAAATGCCCAAACCCAGCATCTCCTACCTCCTTGTTCTCACATCTGCTTTCTCCAAGGCACGAATACAAAATGGTCCTCTTCAGGAAACAGCCTAATACCGACAAAATCTGTACAGCAATTTTTAGTTTCAAATACCCAGTTGATTTTTTTTTCCTTTGAAATGATCGTCTCTTACACAAACACAACATAGTTTTCCTGATGGGCTCTGGAAAAACTTCCGCATATAAGTACTTTTAAGATTCCTTAGCTGTTATGACATTTTCAGAACTGGCGGTGGTCTTTCATTTTGTACTGTAATAGGAATATATCTTCAAATTGTTCCTTTGAAAGTTTTTTCTGTAAGTATGGCCTGATAAAAAGATGAACACTAAAAAATTTATTCTATAAACAATATTCTAAGAGCCAATACAGAAAAACAAATCAATCAGTACTTTGCCACTCTAACAAAGGAGCTGTGTGGGTAACGAATGATACCCAGTGCTCTGCGGGGTAGGGGGAACCTAAAAAACAAATTAAAGACCCCCCTCAGTTGTAGCATTTATTGACTTGCGTGTTGTAAACACTCCCAGCTGGGCCTATTTCAACCTCATGACCGATTGGTTTCTGCACTTCCTGGATGTGTGACCGTTGGCTCTCCCCAACCTGTGGCAGCCATCCGCACCACACAACGGACTCGATCCTTTCCAGTCGGGCACAGTTTTGCCCTTCTAATATTCGTTTTAAAGATAAGGATGTTCTTTTCTGTGTGTTCTTATAGTTTAAAAATAATTTTTAAAATGATGATTATATCTTTTTTCTAAAAATTAGCATTCAAATTAAAGAGTTGTTATATTTTTTAAAGATTTCATGTATTTGAGAGAAAGAAAGCATGAGCAGAGGGAAGGGGCAGAGGGAGAGGGAGAAGCAGACTCCCTGTGGTGGAGCAGGGGGCCCACAGGGCTTGAGCCCAGGACCCTGAGATCATGACCTGAGCCAAAGACAGATGCTTGACTGACTAAGCCACCCAGATACCGCAATAGGTGTTATATTTTTCTCTTTTCCTTTTTTTTTTTTAAAGATTTTATTTATTTATTTGACAGAGAGAGATCACAAGTAGGCAGAGAGGCAGGCAGAGAGAGAGGGGGAGGCAGTCTCCCTGCCGAGCAGAGAGCCCAATGCGGGGCTCGATTCCAGGACTCCGGGATCACGACCTGAGCCAAAGGCAAAGGCTTAACCCACTGAGCCACCCAGGCACCCCTAGTTGTTTTATGTTTTAAAGCATTGCCTATGCTGTCAACAGCCCTTATAATTTTAAATAGGTACACCATGGCCAATGGGATATATTGTATAGAGTTAAGCATTCTCCAGTTGTCACTTTTTCCTCTATTAAAACTCTGAAATAAACATATTTGTACATCCCCCCCCACACACACACACAAGCGCCCTGCTTTTGGATTATTTTCCCTGGCTGAATTCCCAGAAGCAGGGTAACTGAGTTAAAGGCTATGACTTTAAATGGCATATGAAATGTTTTGTTGAAGTAGAAATTATAAATAGTTAACCAAGTAATGCTTTTCTCCTTGTATAATTGAAAACCCAGGAGGAGCTGCATTTATTTTTTTTTTTAAGATTTATTTATTTATATTAGAGAGAAGAGTGCATGAGTGGTGGGGGGGTGTTGCAGAGGGAGAGGCAGAGAGGGGAAGCAGCCTCCCCGCTGAGCGGGGCTGGACCCCAGGACCCTGGGATCTTGACCTGAGCTGAAGCCAGGAGGACCCCCGCTCAACCGACTGAGGCACCTGTGTGTCCTGAGGAACCGCATTTAAAGGATGTTCACCACTGAGCCAGAATTAACACGGATTCCCGACTGGCGGGCCCTTTCCTTGCAAGGAAGGCTGTTGGGGTGTGAAGGTCACGGAAAGAAATCGCAGCATAAGCCGCTCAATGCTGCCCCCTTGTGTCACGCTGTAAAATTACACCCACCTGCGGTGGAATTCCAACCTCTGATCAGTCTCTAAGCGGAGAAAATACTACGATAGCGATGGAGAATGATGGCGGGAGGAAACGAACAGCTGAAGTCCTTCTTCAGCGGATCTCCATTACCCTTGGGCGAGCTCTACGTGTCCTTACAGTGCTGTCTTCAGCCCAGTGTACGGTTTGGGCCCCTGTTTCTTCCTAATCCTGAACAACCCACCTCCCCCTCATTGCCACAGTGTGAAACTCTGAGGAGTCCGAGAATTTTACATTTGAACGTGGCCTTCCCCAGTGTTGTCAGGTTAGAAAGGAGGGACCCTGTGCAATCGCTCGAATGAGAAATGTTAAACATTCAGACGTACATAGGCTTCTGTTTGTGTTATTTTCTAGGTCCCAAGGGTTAGGTTGGTATTTTTTTTCCTCTTTGGAATATTAGAGACAATGGCTTGCATATAAAAATCTCTCTCTCTGTTCTCAGCTACACAGTTTATACGACAGTCATGAGCGCTGCCAGCCCAGAGAGGTACACGACGAGGATCAGAAACCTGGGTTAAATGTACGTAAGCGAAAAGCGGGTTCTACTGTGCCATGAAAGTTGTGCTCGTCTGTTGTGTGTTCGTTTGGGCACGTTGCTGGGTGTGGGCTGGCGTTTCCCACGGAAGACGGGAACATCTGTAACATCGACACGTACAGAATATCTTCTGACACACATCTGGCAAATGGTTGTCACTGGTATCAGGTTAATGTCACTATGAGGGACTTATCTTGAATGTTGGTACGAGAGCTCATCTCGTGCCAAGGGCCCTTCGTCCCTCATTCGGACCTGCTCTCAGGGCGAGCTGTTATGTCTTCACGGACACAGAAGGGGACATAATTGGGAAGACTTGCCTGTCCCCAGAATAATAGTGAGGCGGGCCCAGCACCTTTGCAACCTGAGAAGACAGACAACGAAAGCAGGGGACAGCTGTAGGATTGATTTCAGGCGTGGGTGAGCCCATCCTTGAGGGAAGAGCATGAGGAAAAAGCAGGTGTCCTCTTTGCGGTGCCTGAAACCAAACCGAGGCGGTTTTCCCTAGTGCTGGGGTCTTCTGGAAAAGGGTCAACCCGGCCTGATGTTTGGGTCATTTGCTCATCGTGATGGTGTTACAAATCGGTGTTTGAATTAAATCCATTCATTTTTCTACCCTTACAGATGATTTCTTAAAAATGAAGTTCTGGAAGAGCTGTGCTTTAAAGAACAAAACAAAGCGGGAGGATTGAATCATTTTAGGGACGACACAGGTTCCTTCCTCATTAAGCTTTTCAGGCTTGGGAAGCGAGGGAGGGAGGACCACTGTCAGGCACGTGCGTGGCGGGCCTCCTGCGCTCACTTCCCTTCATCGCTTGCCTTGGGCCGCTCTAAGCTCTGTCTCTACCGACTCGAACAACTCAAAGATAATTGGTCTCAGAGGTCAAGCCACTTCTCCCCACAATATGTAGCAATGTTGTCTGACCTCAGCTGATGAAGAAACGAGCTGGCCAGGCCTCTTTGTTCATTACGCAGTGCTTCTGGAAGAGTCGGAGAGAAAAAGGTCCTTCTGAGAAGTGGAGAACTGTAGCTTGGATAGAGCCTGTCTGAGTGTCTGTTAGTCTGAGCTTTGCTCCTTTTTTCCCCTGGGGTGGGATTCTCACTTTACAGAATGTGTCTAACGTTTCTTTATCAAAACCGATGGGCCTCGTTTTTCTAAATAGCTATTTTCTTACTGCTTTTTGAAAACAATGTAAGATGTCGGGAAGGTGAATAAACACTTTTCCAAGATATTTAACGTTGTCGCTGCATTCTTATTCCCGAAGTCGTGTGGCTCTGAGCAGCTGTCCCGCGGAACCAGCTCTCCTAGATGTTGTTCAAATGTCAGCACTCAGAGGAGGGCACGGCTGCGTTGTAGAATTTAATTTTTTTTTTCACATCTACAAGAAAGAAACTTCCGTGAGGATGAAATGAGAAAAGGTTAAAATGCACAAGCAGTGAATCGATGGGATGTTCTTAAATCTTGCTGGTGTACCGGCGAGAACGAAGGAAAATGGGATAAATGGAAGAAAGTGTCAGCCCAGCACCAGTCACCCCTGCCTCACCATAGCCCACACCTCACTGGTGGCCCAGAATATTCGTGTTTCTTCCTGGACAGTGTTGGAGCCACATTGTTAAATTTCCATCATCCACTGTCCTTTTAAAAATCAAACATCAAAAAAAAAAAAAAAAAAAAAAATCAAACATCAAGGGACGCCTGGGTGGCTCAGTCAGTTAAGTGTCTGCCTTCAGCTCAAGTCATGATCTCCGGGTCCTGGGATCGAATCCCACGTTGGGTTTCCTGCTCAGGAGGGCGTCTGCTTCTCCCTCTCCCTCTGCCCCTGCTTATTCTCTCTCTCTCTCACTGGCAAGTAAATAAATACAATTTTTAAAATAGAAAATAATAATAAAGTCAAACACCAAGAGTAGTTTAAGTCTTGCCGGATATGTTAAGCTGTGATGGAGACTAGAAATTTCTACTCCTTTGTCACTGCCGTTCTTGTTTTCTAGACTACAGACTGTGATCTCTGGATGGAAATTTGGGGAGTCGCCTAATTTTAACCAGGCAGCAGGATGGCACTGGGGACTTTTCAGTAGGAGAGTGACTTAAGCAATCTAGATCTCTGGTTGTCTTTAAGACCTGTGTTCCTTGTGCCGTGTGGCTTCACTCTGATGTGTCCACATGGAGATTTCTTATTATTTAGCCTGCTTGGGGTTTGGTAAGCTCGCCAGACTTCAAATGTACTTCTCTGATTCAACTTTGGAAAGTGCTCAGTCACTCTTCTCTTCTCTTGCTATTCTATGTTCTCTTGTGTCTTTTCTCCTGAACTCCCTGGTGTGTGTGTTATCGCACCTGTTCTGCTCTGTCTCAGCAATCTGGGATTTGCAAGGGTCGGGGGGCAGCGTGGGGACAGGGCGCGGAGAGTAGGGGGGTGGATTTCTCTTGCAATGACATATTCCAGGCCATGTCTTTATTTTTTTCTGCAAAATCATAAATATTTCTTTAGTGAATCTACTGAGTTCTTTGTAGCAAGGATAATAAATTTATTATTTTTAAAAAGATTTTATTTTTTTAATTTTTTAATTTTTTAAAAGATTTTATTTATTTATTAGAGAGAGAGAGAGCGAGGGAGCGAGCACAAGCAGGGGGAGAGGGAGAGAGAGGGAGAAGCAGGCTCCCCACAAAGCAGGGAGCCCAATATGGGACTTGATCCCAGGACCCCGGGGTCATGACCTGAGCCAAAGGCAGTGGCTTAACCCACTGAGCCACCCAGGCGCCTCAGATTTATTTATTTTAGAGAGGATGAGCCAGAGGGATAGTGAGAGAGGGAGGTAGAATGTCAAGCAGACTCCCTGCTGAGCACAGAGCCTGATGCAGGGCTTGAGATCACAACCTGAGCCAAAACCAAGGGTAGGACGCTTAACCGACTGAGTTACCCCAGTGTGTCCCTCTTTATTTATTTTTTTTTAAAGATTGTATTTTTAAGTAATCTCTGCACCCTGCCTGGGGCTTAACCTTCCAACCCCAGATCAAGAGTTCATGCTCTACTGACTGAGCCAGCTGGGTGTCCCTTAAGGATAATATTTTATTTTAGATGGGCTATTTGCTACTTTTTCAAACTGCTAGGATCTTTATCGGATAGCATCTGTTTCTTGCTTTGTTTTTGTTGTTGTTGTTAAACTTCTTAACCCCTACTTATTTTATACTCTGCTTCTAAATTTAATCATCGAACCTTCAGGTGTCTAACTTGGCTGTTTGTTTTCACTCACTCTCCCTCATGGAAGTTTCTGTGGTGTTCCATACTTTTGGATTGTGTTCCCTTGGAAATCCTGAGGGCCAGGGTGGACAGTACACTGCCCAGAAAGGACGCGGGTCTGTCCATTTCTCAGCGTGTGATTTCTTAGAACATTCAGTATAAACTGAAGCCTCGGTTTACGTTATGTTAGGGCAAGCCTGCGGGTCCACCTTCACAGAGGAGAGCCAGGCACTGTGCAGGCTTATGTTCTAACTCTATCTTCTGTGCATCTAAGACCGTGTCCCTTTATCTCCTACTTTCCGACGCAAATGTCGAAGAACTCAGGGGTCTAAGTTCCTGGGACCAGCAAACGTCCTTCGGGCCACCATGCCTCCCATGCCAGCTCCCCTACCAAGCTTCTCTTTATTCCCATCCTCCCTATATTCCCTTCATCCCCTCTGATTGCTTGCTAGCTCAAACTAAAATACTTGCTAGCTAAGTATTTGGCTTTTAGGAAAGACGCATGTTTATCATCTTTAGTTTTGTAGTGGGAATGTTTTTTCAGGGTATTTATCCCTCCAAGATACCCAGAAATCAAAGCACTGATGAACGATTTTTTTTTTTTAATTCATTCTGTGTAATTATGGAGAGTACCTTGTTGGGAGCAGATAATGGAAAAGTGAAAATCAGCTAGTGTGACATGTTAGTAGACCAGCTAAAAAGTTAAGATGGATTGCAAGATGTGCAAACAACCTTAATGTTCGTGGGCAGATGGATGAAGAAAACGTGGGTATGTGCACATGATGAAATGTCATCCAGCCTTTACAAAGTAGGCGACAGCATGCATGAACTTGAGGGCGTGATCCTGAGTGAAACGGGCGAGTCACAGAAGGACAAAGACTGCACATTCCGCTTACTTGGGGTCGATGGGGCTCAGGACACACGACCCCAGGATATGGCACGTTGGCACTTTGAATATTTTAAGTGAAGAAATCTGGGAGAATAGCAGAAGCAGGAGGGCCGCTCTGACCTCCTCCCGCAGCTCTTCATTCTGCAAACAGGTCCTAGAACCCTCCTGCGGAGGTGTCCTCCCTGTACCCAGAGGAATAGATCCTTCTTGTCTTTGAAGACAGTGGGACCCAAAAAGAATCCTAACGAGCAGTCCTCACTGAGTTACTAAAATTACCTCATACTCCTTAGCCTACCACAAGCCTCCATGTCTGCCTCCTTGTCATCCAACATCCCATAAAGATGCACAGACCCATCTCTTTGGGTCTTTGTTTCCTTATGAAGGCCCTCGCGTCATGTGAAACTTCTATTGAATAATTTTGTATGTTTTTCTCCTATTAATCTGCCTTTGTCAGTTTAATTCTCAGACCCAGCTAGGGATCCCGAAAGGGTAGGAAAAAAGCTTTTTCCTCCTCTACAAAATATCTAAAGCAGACTCAGAAGCTAGGTGCTAGTCAGAGGTTCTGCAGGTTAGGCAAGATGAATGAGTTCTAGAGACCAGATGTACAACATTGTACCTATCTACTCTATTACAGTCTACTTAACAATCCTGTATCTTACACCTAAAAATTCAGTAAGAGGGCTGAGCTCATGTTAAGTGTTCTTATCACAATAAAACATTTTTAAAAGCCAAAAATATGTTTAATAAAAAATGTTCCTTGGAAATGGACATGGCTTGGCCTACAGTGGTTGTATAGGAGATGGATAGAGTTGATTTTTAAAGTATTTTTTTTTAAGTACACAAGGAACATATGCCTTTTATAAACATAAATCAGGGCTGCCTCAGTGGCTAGGTCAGTTGAACCTCCCACTCTTGGTCTCAACTCAGGTCATGGTCTCAGGGGTGGGATGGAACCCTGCCTCATCAGGCCTCATGCTCCATGGGGAGACTACTTCCCTTCTCCTGCTCCCTCTGTCCTTCCCACCCGCTCACACACTCTCAAATAAATAAAATCCTTAAATAATCAGTAAATAAATCAGGGGAACCTGGGTGACTCAGCTAGTTATGCATCCTACTCTTGGTTTTGGCACAGGTTCTGATCTCAGGGTCATGAGACTGAGCCCCGTGTAGGGCTCCACATTCAGCACAGAGTCTGCTTGAGATTCTGTCCCCCTCTGCCCCTGTCTGCACTCATTCTCTCTCTTTCTCTCTCTAAAATTAAAAATAAATAAAATCTTTCAATCAATCAATCAATCAATCAAATAGTACATACTGGAAATCCTTTGCCTGTCTTCCCCGCTCACAGACTGCTCTCTCCCTGGTAGCATTCCCTAGAGATAACTGCCATCTGTGTTCATGAAGAGGTTTTTTTAGTGCTTATGTGTTTTATTTTTTATTTTATTTTTTTTAAAAGATTTTATTTATTTATTTGACAGACAGATCACAAGTAGGCAGAGAGGCAGGCAGAGAGAGAGGAAGGAAAGCAGGCTCCCTGCCGAGCAGAGAGCCTGATGCGGGGCTCAATCCCAGGACCTTGGGATCATGACCTGAGCCGAAAGCAGAGGCTTAACCCACTGAGCCACCCAGGCGCCCCATGC